TCTTCTTATCACTTGATTTCTCCACCATATTCCACACACATGTTTTCTTTATTTATTTTACCATGTGTGACCCAGATGAACCTGCTGATGTCTACTCTGTCATCACAGTTCGTTTGGAAAAAACAAGTTTACTTGGTTCCCATTGGGAACCAACATTATTTTTTTTCTTGGTGGCCTGTAATCCATTAGTCAGTTAATCAGTCAGGTGTCTTAGTCGACCAAAACTTTTATTGATGAATTATTTTATTTAGAGTTTAAGAATTTATATCTGTGGGTGAACTATTAAAAAAATAAATAATAAAATAATACTGCAGAGACTGAGAGTGGCATATAATGATGCTCTTAGAAGGGCCCAGATGCACTAGTGCCAGTGACTTGTTTATATTCTCAGAAAGCTATTTTAAGAATTGTTATGTAAAAATGTATGTGTCATTTGAACATGTCGGAAAATGTGGTAATTTTATTGTTGACTAATATTGTACTGAAAAAATCTATTTATCTGTCTATCTATATGGGACAACAGCGGTGTATGGTGTGAGTTAACTCATGATTTTACATATAAATGGACTATTTCCTAGTACATTTCTGTTTATGGTAAATAGTTTATTTAGTTGACCTACGTGCAGTTGTAATCTTGTGAGTGCAGTCAGATACCCTGTCAAATCATAAAAGTTTTAAGAGATTTTTGTACACCCTTTTTTAGTCAACCAATCAACTCGGTTTCTTTCATTGACTACATTACAGAACTTTTTTGGTGATTTGAATTTCTTTTAACAGGATATATAAAAAAATCCTCATTTAATACCAAAGTAAAGAAGTAAAGTGTGTAATTGTTAGAGCATTTTCCCACCATACAAAAGGTTGGCAGTTCAGTCCCTGTTCCCTCAGCCCATAGTGTTATTATGGGAACGGCACTTAACCTTGATAGCTTATGAATGCGACATGTGGGCTTATGTTGTCAGACCAAAGTGTGACATTCTACTGGAGCCTGGACAGCCCCCACAGAAGTATAGTCTCTGTTCAGAACTGCAGCACATTTGGTCAAGTGAGCAAGGCCCTATTCACATAATATATTCACATAATCATATTCGTCCACATTGTCTAACATGTGTAAACGGTACAGACTCAATGCAATCAATCAAAATCAATACAGACCCCCCAGTGGTTGTGTTATGTTGAAATCAGTGGAAGCTGTTTATTCTGTAGCTGTACCTGTGGGCGTTCTGTTATTGTTAAATACTTGGGCAGTCTGGCCAGGTTCTCTGACATCTGTGGAGAAATAATTTATCCATTTTATTTTCTATTTTAACTTTAAATTAGGAAGGATCTGGAAGGGATTTGTGGAAAAAACAAACAATGCATGTGTTAAAACCTTGGGAATATATTCTGTGAGCTGGAGACATTTGTCACAGCGAGGGACAGGAGGACACTGGATAATCTTCTTTACATCATGGACACTCCTGCACACCAATTGCACCAGACTATAGAGGGACAGAGGAGCTCATTCTCCAACATTCTCCTACAGCTCCACTCAAACAGTGAGAGATACAGGACTACATTTATACCATACTCCATACAAGTACAGCAACTCACCCTTATGTAACAGATAACCGTATGTTATGTCAATCCTTATATCATTTTCTCTTACGACCTCTTGTATATAGCTGAGATGTTTTTATTACTTATTTTCTATTTTATTTTTTACTTGTACATTCACATTTATATAATTATGTCTTATTTGACACCAGTCTCTTCCTATCTTTTTTTCTATTTATTTAGAATTTATTATTACCATTTATATTGATGCTCTTTGTAATAATATTTTTTTGTGAAATGTGAGCTACTGTGTCCAAATCATTTCCCTTGTGGATCTATAAAGTTTGTCTAAGTTTAGGTCTAGCCTTCTGTTCACCAGATTGTAGATAAGTCTGCTGATGTCAAAGTATAGGAGCCTCACTTATCTAAAAACAGCAATATCTGATGACATTATTTTGATAGCTGAAGAGGTATGGGCTCGAGTAGTATGACAATAATACCATGTAAATTCAAGTTTCCAGCCATCTGCCAGAGCTCATGTACAAATGACAAAAAAACTAAATGTTTCTGTGTTTTTTATGTTTCTTTCTTCTATTAGAAACCTATAACTTTCCCTTACGTTACGCATATATAAGCAGAACATGTGTCTATTTCACAGTATGTTCCATACTGTTGTAGAACAGTATATGGAACATGGTATAAATGTAGTCTTTTATCTTTCACTGTGGGAACAGAGCTGAGTGTGTGTGAGATGTGCCGTAGTGTCCATGATGGAAAGCAGTTTGTCCAGTGTCCTCCTGACATTGATCACCTGTCTGTGCAGATCAGTTTCTCCTGCAGAGCTCTGTCTTTTGTCCTGTAGTTTTCATTGCTCATGTTAGAATTGCTTCAGTCACTCCACATCGCTCCTCTGAGGCTGGTGAAATTTTGTACTGAAGACAAACATGACCCCCTGCCCTTGTAGTATTGTCCTCTGGGGCCATTCTAAGAAGGACACTTCACAGAATGATTTAAGCCTTGTATATAACTCTAAATGAGACTACAACCGCTTCCTCCACAAATCCATCCAATCTATCCTGGCCTCCATATTATAATTGTGCTACAGCACATATTGACCTCACCAACTCCCTGGCTGGCTATTAGAAATCTATAATGTTACTTTACATTAAGAGGGTCTGTTTTTGAATGCAAATTTTTTGCATGAATGTTATTTTTACATAAACTTTTGCAAATATTGGCCCATGTTATGATTTGTCCCATTTATCTATGACACATTTTCTGCTTGTATTTAGACTTGGGTGTCTTCAGTGTATATAACATTTTTTACACAGTTAAGGGAATTGGACATAATAACTAAAAAATATTAACACATTTATTGTATAATAAAGAGTTGGTCTAGGGCAATATGATTTTAAAATCATATGCTATTTTGGTGATCTTGTCAATCCTTGATTCGCTAATTGAGTTTAATGCTGCTCTAAGGCATTTTGCCATATTCTCTCCTTTCTATGAAAATAAAAATCATCATCTAGACTCTAAAAGAACTGATAAATTGTGGCAAATTGTAGACAAAACATTCAACATTCATTTGGATCTCAGTTTTAATGTGCCAAATTCCAAATGAGATCATAGGTTCAGGAATCACAGCTCTTTGTTATGAAGGTCATGGCATGATTTCAGAGGGGTAAAAATGTAATTGGACGGAAGTAAAAGAGATGAAACCGCTGCACCAGTGAGGAAGACACCCAGTCCCTACAAAATTTATTGACAGTTATATTTTCTCCAGTGATGAAAATGAACATTTTAGATAATGGAAACTTATAGGACTTTTGTGCATTTACTCGAGTCCCTGAAATGAGGCAAAAGACCTGAAAAAAAAAATACCCCCCAAAAGGTTATTTTTAACACTGCATAATTATGTGATTACTCACTGGTTTTTACTGCATATTTTCTATGGTTTATTTTCTTTTTACAATTCCATTTTATCCCCCGAAAAATGTTTTGAATGCCCTCAAAGTGTCAGCACGTCAAGTGTACATCTGTCACAGGGTAAGGAAGTGCAAGATAAAAATGGCAGCTTTGACACAAAGTTATCTCTTTCATAACTGTAACGTGTGTCTATTTTACAGTATGTTCCGTACTGTTGCAGAACAGTATGTAGAACATGGTATTAATGAAGTCCTTTATCGTTCACTGTGGAAGTGGAGCTGTCGGAGTCTAAGCTTCTCTCCTCTAATGTGCTTTGGAGTGTGTGAAATGTGCCATAGTGTCCTTAACGGAGAGCAGTTTGTCCAGTGTCCTCCTGACATCGATCACCTGTCTGTGCAGATCAGTTTCTCCTGCAGCTCTGTCTTTTGTCCTGTAGTTTTCATTGCTGGTGTTAGAATTGCTTCAGTCACTCCACATCGCTCCTCTGAGGCTGGTGAAATTTTGTACTGAAGACAAAAATGACCTCCTGCCCCTGTAGCAGTGTCCTTTGGGGTCATTTTAAGAAGGACACTTCACAGAATGACTTAACCTTTTTATATATCTCTAAAACCTCCTCAACCCATCCATCTAATCTATCCTGACCTCCATATTATTATTATTGTACTTCATATCGACCTCATCAACTCCCTGACTCTCACTCAATACCCCGTGTTTATGTGAAATCTATACATATGCCACAGTTCGTAGTGTCTAGTTCAGGGGCCTTGGTCAATACGCTAAGGTCAACAGGTGGGATGGGTTATTGATTTCTGGGTTGCAATCTAGGATATTTATCGATCCCCCATTTGGAGCTCACAGCCTGGTCAGAGGAAAGAGACAGTGTAGGTTTGCAAAGTGAATACAGTGAGGACACACTACTGTTAGTCATGCATCAGTACATCTGTTTTAACTTGTTCAATGAATATTAAGTCAAACAGCTTGTAAAGTTTTGATGTCAATATGTTTATGGATCGGACACACGTGCACTTTGTTTTGTCTTATTTTATATTTATTTAAAGGAAATAAATGCTTTTTAAGTCTCTGCACTGGTATCTGTTGCACATAGCTATAGTATCTGAATCAGTATCAGAACTAAAAATGCTGGATCAGTGAGTCCCTAAAAAATACCATTATTGTTTACTATAGTTTGATTTGCTGTTACTGAGAGCAAAGTGGCTGTGTAAAATAAAATTAAACAATTATTATAACACTATTTTGTTTCAGAACTGTAATGTACTAATTTTGTTCAGATTAGTTTTGCTTTCACTTGTCTGTTGAAGTCTGTTGAATGTAGTTAATATTTGTTGATGTTTGTATCATCTGACAAGGCTCTCTGGGTGTGTTGGCTCAGTACAAACAGATTGTAGAAGATGTTTGTCCTTGAGTTTGGCTGTATCCTGTTTTTTATAGATTTTAGTTTAATCATTCAGAAGAACCATGTTAGGGTGTCAGTCACGTCTTACAGTTTTTTTCTCTTTTCAGAATGGTTCCTTTATCTCCTCGCTGCTAACAACGAAAATGAATTGTAAGTGTTTATCTCTTATATGTACCATAATATAATTTCTCAAATGTTAAAGAACTCATATTAAAGACTCTTCTGTAGTAGAATAATATTTCTACATGTATGTGTTCTTCAACCATGTTATGTTTTCAGATCATTCCAGTGCTCACATTATAGCTAAACAAACTTGTCCTCCATCTGCTAGTGATAGCAGCCAGCAGGTGGAGTTTTTGGCCCTCTGCGTGTATAAGTTTCATTAGAAAATTAAATCCCAAACTCTCAGCAGTATAAATGTAGTTTTATTTAAATTTAGTATAATGCATAGTAGGACCTTTTAACAAAAATACTCATGCCATTTTCAATATACCCAAAGACACTTTACAGTATATTATTCATTCACTCCACACTTGGTGGTGGTAAGATACTATTGTTGCCACAGCTGCTCTGGGGCAGGTTCATTGAAGCGAGGCTTCCAATCTGTGCCATCTGCCCCTCTGACCACTACCATCACTCACGCTCACACCGCTTTCATATTAGGCAATGTGTCTTGCCAAAAGACACAGCGACAGTTTTAGCTACTGGCGCCCCAGTGTGTCTGTAAACATAGACCTATGTCTGTCTACATACATTTTCAGTGGATTGCATTATGACTTAATAAAGTTCCAGCCTTCCCACGTAGGCATAAAGTAAAAAGCTACAATTTCTAAAAATGTGTTCCAAAATCTGATATGCTTCTGTGGTGTTCAAAGGCAAAAGCTCTAGTCTGTGTCCTTTGTAAAAAGGACTACAGACTACAAAGGACTACAAAAGCAAATTCTCATCCTGTTGGCCCTCGAACCTTTGGCCTTTTAAAGCTGAAGTGTATGGAGGGCCTCAGCTTCATCATTTACTGTAGAGATAGACCAATTGATCTATTCTTTGCAAATCAGCTATCAGTCTTAAAGGAGCACTATGTAACTTTTTGGTTACTTATTACTTGGTCACTTGCTTGTTTCAATGGATACATTGCTCTCTCTGTATGTTATTGCTTGTCTGGAATATTCCACAGTATGAAATTAAATAGTTCCTTACATTTATTCAGTTGCAGTTGGTTTTATAGCTCAAAAATGGAATAGGCATTCTGACTGTGAGCCGGGTTGTCTCTCCATAGATTTGATCTGGAACATGGTCTGATTTGGTCTTCATGAAGATAGAAATATTTTAATACCATACTGTGAAACATTCCAGACAAGCAATAACATCTTCATCGAGAAAAGCATTTGAAGGAGGTTTGAAGTTACACAATGTTCCTTGAAATTACAGAATTTAGGAAAAGTAATCAAAATCACCCTTACATATCAGCCCAAAATATCAGCAGATTTTATTGGCCCCTGGATTCTAAATAATCAATATCAGAATCATCCATGAAAAAGCCCATATTGGTCAATTTGTAATTTACTCTTTGATCCATTTCCAGGACAACCATGACCAGTGAAGTGACATCATGACTTCTCTGAACCAGTCTGAAGATTCACCACCCGCTCCCTCCTTCTCTCTCTCCTTGGCGGAAAACAATGTATCCGTTTTTGTTTCTAATGACCCCTTTTTATCCAACACTGCGTCCTTGGTCACCTCGCCGAACTGCACCGTCCCCCCATCACTGTCCTCTCCTCCGTACAACTTCTACGCTGTGCTGCTGGTTCTTCTCATCTTCTGCGTGGTCTTTGGGAACGTGCTGGTGTGCGTGGCTGTGTCAAGGGAGCGGGCTCTACAGACCACCACCAACTACCTGATCGTCTCTCTGGCTGTTTCTGACCTGCTGCTGGCCATCCTGGTTATGCCATGGGGTGTCTACCTAGAGGTTTGTATGTGAAAATGATTGTGTTCCTATTCTGCTCCATGTTAACATTTTTAGGGCTGGGTGATATGCTGATATAAATGTAATCAGGATGTCGTGCTTGTGATGTCTTGTGATGAAGTGGTAGTTTTCAAGTTAACAGCTGCCTTTTACCTATTTATTTAGTAGAGATTGGCAATTCCAGGGCTAAAATCATATAGATGATTCTAGTGAATGTGTATGGAGCTTAAAAACAACTTTCAGAGATCAGTTTTGCCATCACGGTAACGTTAACAGCAACTAGCATGCAAATGTGCACTTCCTGATTATCGGACTAAGCACTAATCAGTAATTGTTGATTCATGTATATTTGAGTGATCCTGTTTTTGCATGCATTTGAGGCTTGGTTGCTAAAAACATTTAAATGTTAAAAAAAATAATAATTCTAAAAAAGCATACCTAAAATATAAATCATAAAAATCTAAATTATAAAAATATTTTTTAAAAAGGCATGTTACCATAAAAACTTTTTTTTTTTTTTTTTTTAATCAAGCGTGTCTTACTCAAAATTGACTCTAGTGAGCTTTAAGATGTTACTTCCTCAAAAATGTACCTGGAGCTGTGTTTTCTTTCACTCACATGTATTTGAGTAACTTTTATTATTAGTCTATTTCCATCACCAAAACTCAAAATGCTCTTTTCCATCTTGTGATGTCATGAAGTGGCAGTTTCCAAGATAACAGCTGCCTTTTACCTATTTATTTAGTAGAGATTGGCAATTCTAGGGCTGAAATCATATAGATGATTCTAGTGAAGGTGTATGGAGTTTAAAAACACAGTGAAGCACTTCCTATATCACCACATGACATCACAAGGTGGAACAGAGTGTTTTCCGCTTGAGAGGAGAACTCAGCCTAAATATGCAGGGTTCGTGTGTGTGAGTTTGTTAAGACTAGGGAGTTACAAATTATTTTTATTTAAATAATTTTATCTCATTGAATTTGTGCAGTATAAATGTCACTTACTCCTGATATTTTGTCTTTAAACAGTCAGTACACAGCTTGTACTTTGAGGCCACATTGCTACAGCACCAAAGGAAATATTTGTTCTTTCTATAGTAAGTTCGATTGAAGCTGCATTATACTGGTCCTCCTCTAATTACTAATGATGACACATTCAACTGATTTTTTTTTTCTTTATGTCCTTGCTGACTGATTAGGAGAATACATTATGTACTTAAGAAAAAACTACACAACCTAAATTGGCCCGCAGTGATAAAAAGACCTTTGTCGCTCTGAAGTGTTCCTTCTCTGATAATTTGTCATTTCCGCAATAGTACAGACTTTAATAATAATTGCTAAACCACATGCTTTTAAAGAGAGATGACTGTGGACTTCTCATTTAAAAAGACTCAAGCTGATCGGGGATAATTAGAAACAGCGGAATCTTGATCTTGATTAAAATGTGATGAAGTGATTGCACAGCCGTACATGAAATAGAACATAGAGATAACGTATTCTACTCTGGCTGTAACTTATTTATAATTTCAGCTCTATTTCTCACTTATATCCCTACATTAACGGTGCTGTGTAACTTTTCTGGTCGGTTTCTTGTTTGTTTCCATGGGCATTTTATTACTCAAAAATAACTTTTTGAAAAACATGCATTCTTGCTTTAAGCAGACTTGCCTTCCACAAATCTGACTTGTAACTTGTGTCCATGGGGATAGTACAATACAAGCATGTAGTAGAAAAGTTAAGAGGTAATAATGTTCTAACATGGTTTAAAACTCAGAAGACTCAATTTCTCCTAATATAGGACCATTAATTTACAAATAAATTGGGCCTAGTAGGGTGTATAAGTATTCATATCATGTGTGTTTTTGTGTAGGTGGTGGGAGAGTGGCGCTTCAGCCTCATTCACTGTGACATCCTGCTCACTCTGGACGTGATGATGTGCACGGCCAGCATCCTCAACCTGTGTGCCATCAGCATTGACAGGTGAGTTAAAGACATATCTACAGCAAGACTTATGTTTTCACCATAGACTGTATAAAGAAGTGGACTAAGGGAGTGTGACGTCACCTGTAGCATTCAGCTCCAGTCAAATGAAGCGCACCAGGCCAGCTTCATTAGGAGCAAATTTGGATTCAGGTAGAGTGGATTAATATAAACATTTTAAAACCAAAATAACGAGGCTCACTGCAGCAGTTACAGAGAGAGGGCCCTCAATTTCTCAATGTAAAATCAATTGGAAAACAGCCGGAAGCTACCTATGTCCGTTTATGTGGTGTATGGTTTTCGCACACTGCTGGGCTTATTTGTATTTTAATTTCCTATATGTTGGATAAGGTTAGGTAACGCCAGAGTAAGCACGTCATAGCAAATTTTGATGCATGACAATGTTGATGTTGCTACAGAGATGTACTACATTAAACAGTAATACTAAAACTACTGTATGCAACTGACACAAAAACAATGAAGCAGGGTTATCCCAGTAAACAAATGTATATACAGTTACATTAAGAGTTTTTTTTGTTTTTTTAAAGACCATGGTTCTCTCTCATCCACCTACTTCAAAAGGTTCCATATATTACAAGTACAAGCTGTAACACATAATATAAATCCATTGACATTACACGGCCAGAGATGTGTGTGTCAGTCTTTAACTGCAAGTGTCTTGACTCTTGTCCTTGTCCTTTTAAATAAGTTCTATGTTTATATATTCGGACCCGAGCTCTAAGATTAATCTCTGTCTGAGGAGACAAATAAAGACACCTTAACTTTACCGACAAGGCTCAAATTACCCTTTTATTCCTGTTACAAATGAAAGATAAACCCAAGCAAGGACAAGAGTTCATAATAATCAGTCCATTAAAGTAATACAAAGTGAAACACTACATAAAATACAGAACACTGCAAATAATACCTCTCCTATCAACCAAAGGGAAATAGGCAGTTAGTTACATCCATAGACTATATGTAGAAATGGACATAATGAATCCGTTAGCCGCCGCGTTTCAGATAAGGAGTAAAAAAATGCAGGAGCCTCTGGCTTCTTCTCACTCTGTCTCCAATTGACTTACATTGGAATATTGTCACCCCTCTCTCTGTAACTGCTGCAGTGAGCCTCATTTTGGTCTTAAAATGTATTTATTAATTCACTCTACATGATCCTGGTGCTTTTATTTCAATTTTGTCCATTCAAAAGATCCTATTCCTAATATAGGCCTGGCTCCAAATGTATTCCTTGAACACTGTGAGTGACGTCACACTCGCTCAGTCTACTTCTTCATACAGTCTATGGTCCCATCAAAGGAAATTCTTATAAAAACAAAACTCACAATTAATTTGAATATTTCACTAAGGCTGTGTTCAGACTGTAGACTGAAGTGACCCAAATCCGATTTTTTGGCTTCTATGTGACCTGTATCCGATCTTTTAATGACAGTCTGAACGACACAGATCAGATTTTTTCAAATGCGACCCAGGCCACTTGATATGTGGTCCTGAAACCGATCTCCACCGATCTTTTGACATACAACTTCAGTCTGAACGGCCAAAGCGCATTCATCCCACCTACACATTATCAACAAGCCACAAAGGTCACTATTCTGCGCTGAAGTCAGCGAAAATTGTTAATGAACTCAGTGTCACTGAAGTGAAGCACATCACCACTCACCACTCTTGGCTACGTCTCCACATCCACACGTTCCTTTCAATGGATGTCGCTGCCGGTGTCCAACAAAAAGCCACGGCCAAAAACCTCGTCCTTCTCAATCTCCTCCTTAAAACAAGTAAGTTGTACATGTTCTGGCTTCGATACGAGAGGAACTTTAAAATCGCCAGATGCTCAATGCTCGCGTCCATGTTTGGACAACTTCCTTAAACACAGAGCACACTCGCTGCGGTTGACGTCATTGTGTCCTCCAGTGCACATGCGGGACACTTTTGGGCCATTTAACGTTCACACAGGGGATCGCCTACAAGTCGCATTTAATTGGAAATGTGAACGACCTCGCAAAAACATCGGATTTCACAAAAAAATCGTAATTGAACGTTAAGCCCTGCAGTCTGAACATAGCCCAATACACTAGAGCTGGATTCCTCAGTGTACTAGTATCATTACATGTCCAGAGACAGACTTAATTTCCAAAATCAATTAAAAAATAAAATAAAATTATGACACAGAGCACATATATTGACACTGTGGAGCTGATGTCATCAACATTCTCAGCGGGTGTGATGTTAACTGTAGGTTTGGATTCCAGTTTCAGTCATTCTCACCATTTTCAATATTTCCTGAATGTAAACTATACAGACGTGTAAGAATTGCTATGTTATACAAAAACTATAGGCAAATGTATCTTTGTTATAATGTTGTTCCCTCATCATAAGTATATCTGGAGGTGTGGTTTGTTTCATTCACGCATGTTTAACACACAAATCCTATATATTTTGGCCAAGTAGTTACTTATCTCAGAATGAAGAGTTGTTAAACTCCATACACTTGCACTAGAATTATTTGGATAATTTCAGCCCTGAATTTGCCAATTTCTACTGAACTAAAGGTAAGGAGCTGTTAACTTGAAAACTACTGCTTTATGCTCTGTTTCACCTTGTGATGTCATCAAGCGGTAGTTTTCAAGTTACAGCTACCATTTAACTTTTGTTTAGTAAAGGTTGGTAATTCCAGGGCTAAAATTATCCAAATCATTATAATGAAGGTGTATGGAGTTTAAAGACACAATGGAGCACTTCCTGTTTTACCACACGGTTTGTGTGTTAAAGATGTGTGAAAGAAACAAAACACAACTCCAGATCTGTTTGTGACGAGGAAACAACATTATAACATAGATCAGAAAATCGTGTAATATGGACCCTTTAATATACAAATGATCTTGTACCATGCTTTTTACCCTGGAGAAGGTTCTTTCATAAAACTTTGTATAATATACTCCTTAAAGTCACTTCTTGAAGTCACACAGTACCACCACAAACTACTACAAAGCGTTGTACTTAGTTTAAAATGCACAGACGTGGTAAAGGGATCAAAATAGTGACAGTGCATTAATGAGTGTGTATAATCAAAGGAGTGTGTTGGCTTCTTGTTGAAAGAGCTTATGTGTCTGTTTGCAGTGGTACCACTAGAAAAATATGATCGATTGAGTTGCTTTTTACACAAATCTTCATTATTAGATCTCAAAGTCAGGCCAAAATACTTTTACTTTTTACTCTTTAAGTATATTTTAAACAGGCACTTTAATACATTTACTTAAGTAGATTTCTTCATGTGATTTTCTACATGAAGGCCAAACCAGACCAAGTTACAGGTCAGATCTGTGGGGAGGCAAAACCGCTCACAGTCAGAAATGCAATTATTCTATATTGAGCTATAAAACCACCTGTGATTGAATAAATGTAAGGTAGAGCTGTTTAATGTCATACTGTAGAACATTCCAGGCAGAGTAATAATATCTCCATGGAGAAGAGCATTTGACGGACCCTCCACCAGTAATGTTACACAATGCACCTTTAGGTAACAACATTGAGTACTTTTTCCACCACTGTATTTTGTATTGTATTGTCACAGATACACAGCAGTAGCCATGCCGCTCCTCTATAACACTCGCTACAGCTCCAGGAGGAGGGTCGCTGTGATGATTGCTGTCGTGTGGTTTCTCTCTTTTGCCATCTCCTGCCCTTTGCTGTTTGGACTCAACAACACAGGTAAAATCCACCACATCATCCCAGCACTATTTTTTAAAAGTTCTATATTCTGCTTTTATCTTTGGTTCAGAAGAGATTGCAATTCAAGGGCTGAAATTATCCAAATGATTCTAATGAGTGTATTTGGACTTTAAAAACAGTGGAGCACTTCCTGTAGCCTGTTACCACATGATATAAGACTGTTTAAGAGAAGAACTCAGCCTAAATATGCAGGGTTTGTGTGTTAAACATGTGCGAATGAAACAAAACACAACTCCACGTATGTGTGTGATGAGAAACAACATCATAACACAGATCCAAAAATTGCGTAATATGGGCTCTTTAAGTTTTAAAGAAGCTGTTCTCAAAAAATATTACAGACACTAGTCACTTTGCATTATTTGGCACTCGCAACTGTGTTTGTAAACCGACCATCTGTTTTGAAGTTTAACAATCAAACTATGATAAGACCCCAAACAAACACCAAATGTCACAATAAATGAGGCTTCTGTTAAAAAAACAACAACACATTTGCATGTTCAGTTTTTTAAAGTGGTGATTTCCAGCTGTTCAATCTGGACACAGCTGTTCAATCAGGGCAGTGTGGAAAATGTTTTAATGTTTACTTACTACATAAACTGCATACAACTGTGAATTTTCATAAAGTACAAATGTGAATTATCATAAAGTACTATACATCTATCACCAATTGCAGTTGAAGTAAGAGTTAAATATACACGGATTACTGAGCAGAGTGTGTAGAGTAAATGAATAATGGCCCATAGTTTGAGAGACTGAATGGAGCTCAGCAGTGACCACTCTCTCCAGTTCTGAAAGTCCATTTTTCATTCATTTATCCCATAGACTTTTCAAAAAATTCAAATATTAAGAGTTCAAAGAAGCTAAGCAGCTACATGCTAACTAATATCCATAATGCACTTGTTTTAAAGATGCACCGTGTAACTTTTCTGGTGGAGGGTCCGTCACCTGCTTTTCTCCATGGAGTTGTTGCCGGGAATGTCCCACAGTATGGCATTACTCTTATTTATCTCTATGGGGACAGCAGGTGACGCCAAATGGCTAAGTTACATATCAGATTTGTGGAGAGGCGAGCACACTCACAGTAAGAATGCAAGTTTTTAGGTCAATAAAAACCCACGTTATTGAGTAAATTCAAGATGGATACATTTAATGCTATACCAGACAAATCAATATAATTTCCATGGAGACAAGCAAGAGGAAGACCCTAAAGCAGAAAAGTTACAGAGTGTACCTTTAAATCTGAAAATACTGTTTAAAACACAAGACTCTGTTAAATGTTTTAATAAAGTCTCAAAAACAGGTTTTACATAAATTATTTGTCTTGTGGACATTAGTTAACAAGTAGCAGATTAGCCCCAAGCAAACTTTCGAATTTTTAACACTAATTTCTTTCTGAATCTGTATGAGAAAAATTTATGAGGAATTTAGTTCTGGAACTGGGTGGTGGGTGGTCATTGTTCAGCTCCATTGCTTTTTAAAATGGTAAATAATTCCTTGTAAATAATCCACGAACCCCATTTGGCATTCAGAAAAAAGGTCTGTGCTGATCCAAATATCAGTTTAGTTAAGACTGGATGCAAGCAATAATTTAATTTGCACACAGTGAAAGGAAGTCTGATCCGAAAACAGAAGGATTCTATCAGAGTCATCAGTGATGGGAAGAATACTTTGAAAATATATTTAGTTACTGAATATTGAATACCTGCATTAAAATCTATTTCATAACATATTCTGATACAGGGGCCAATCAGAGTACTGTATTCTGAATACTCTGAATACTTTCACGCATTTAAATTACAGTGTCAAGACATGACATAAGATTAAAACAACTTTAAATTTACAGTATTTCATTAGTTCTGAATATATTTGTCACTGATCATGAAAGGAAAAATCACCCAAGAGCAGTTTTTTATAATTGTTTTTTGTTTTTGTTTTCACGAGTTAGGCGTAGTTTGAAGCCTAAATTATGGATCAAGTACCATCATGTATACCTTTGATTTTAGAAAAGTAACTGTCTAAGTCTAAGTGTATTCTGAACACCACCAAATGAAGAAGTCTACCAGAATAAAGTTACTCAAAATTATTACAAAATATACAAAATACAAAAAAGTGCTCAGAATACATATTTTCGGTGCATACATTCAGTTACCGTACTTCTAGTTGACACATTTCACATAAAATGACTCACCTTATTCAATGACGTAAACACAGTGCACGAGGACAGGTATCATCACAGAGCAGCTACAGATTCTGCGAGCCAGACTTCAAGGAAAAAAAGAATCTAATATAAGTGCATTGTTGTGTTTTTCAAAAGGCAAGTTTATTTATATAGCACAAGTCGTACACAAAGTCATTTGAAATGCTTTACAGAATAATTTTAAGAGATTAAAATCAAAACACAAACAAATCAAAACATAAATGATCGTGATGAAATGAACATTAAAGGTGCACTGTGTAACTTTTCTGATGCAGGGTCCGTCAACTTCTTGTTTCTATGGATATGTCATTGCTTACATTTATTCAACTACAGATGGTTTTATAGCTCCAGATTAAAAAACAGGCAAAAAAAAAAAACTGACTGTGAGCAGGGTCGCCTCTCCACAGATCTGACCTGTAACTTGTTTTAGTTTGGTCTTAGATAGAAAGGTGTAATGCCATACTGTGAAATATTCCAGATAAAGCAATAACATCTCCATGGAGAAAAGCATTTGATGAACATTCCACCAGAAAAATTACACAATGCACCTTTAAAACTGAAGAGAGAAGAGTGCAGAATAAAAAACCTTTCTGTTATATGCACAAAAGGCAATATTTCAAGGACCAGTGCTCAGTCTACATGTTGTCTGTTGTATTTACGTTTCCTACTTAGTTAGTAGTTCTTTTTCTTTTAGCCAGTCGAGATGGTTCAACGTGCAGCTTTGCAGACCCAGCCTTTGTCGTTTACTCTTCTGTCGCCTCCTTTTACGTTCCCTTCATCGTGACGCTGTTGGTGTACGCTCAGATCTGTGTAGTCCTGCGTAAACGTGGGCGCCGCACTGCTCCTCCGCGCAGACACGGCCTCCACACAGCAGGGGGCACCGAGGGGGCAGAGACACACAGGCATCGGAAGGTACAGTATCATAAGCTTTAGTTAAAAATAGAAAAGCTAAGCATTAAATATCAGTGGTGGAGAGTAATGAAGTGAAATGGAAAAGTAATGTATGTAGGTATTCATTTACATATCTGTACTTCACTTAAAGGTCCTGTATTACTCAAAATTAAATCTTGTGAGCTTTAAGCCATGTTGTAATGCTGTTTTCCTCATCAAAAACATATTGTTTTGCTTCATTCCCACATGTTTGAATAATCCTGATTTATTAGGCTGTCTGCATCTCCAAAGCTCAACAGTAAACAGTAGTTTTCGAATTAACTAAAAGTAAAAGGTAGCTGTTTAGTAGAGAATGGCAAGGGCTGAAATTATCCAGATGATTCTAGTGAAGGTGTATGAACTTGAAAAACATAGAGAAGCACTCCCTATATTACCACATGACATCAAAAGGTGGAATAGAGTGTTTTCTGTTTGAGAGAATAACTAAATATAAAAATAAATAGGATTTGTGTGTTAAAGATGTGCGAATGAAACAAAACAGAACTCCGTGGGTTTTTTTTTTTTATGAGGAAACAAAATTATAACATAAATCACTAAATAGTGTAATATTGGCCCTTTAGTACATCTTCTAAATGTCTCCTATTTCAGAACAAATGTACACAGCCAGAAGATGTGAAGCTCTGTACTTTGATCCTCAGACCATCGACAGCTGCACCTCCAAGAAAAAAAGTTGTGAGTTTTCAAACTTCGTTGAATCTTTAATGATTTTAGATATTACGTGTAGAGTTCAAAATAGTGCAATACTAATTTGACATTGACAAGATTTCATATGCACACAGTGATGGGAAGAATACTTTGAAAATGTATTTATTTACAGAATACTGAATACCCAAATTAAAATGTATTTTGTAATGTATTCGGACACATGGTTCAATTGGAGTATTGTATTCTGAGTACTTAGAAGATGTTTTTCAATTATTAATCATTTACTTGAGAAGGAAAAATCAAGAAGCCTAATTTACGTGATCAAATACTGCCAAGTATTCCTTTGAGTTTAGAAAAGTAATTGTACTCTGAATACCAACAAATAACATGACTGAAGTCATAGCAGAAATAACAACAACATAAAATAAAAATGAAAAAGTAACTCCTACCTGAATACAGTTACTCAAAATATTCTGATAATGTATTCTCGGTACATGTATTCACTTACTTCCCAACACTGTGTGCACATGTTTTAAAGTAGTGTTGTGTTTCCAGACCCTGGTGAAGGAGGCTCTGGTCCACCCTCTGGAGATGGAGCCGGGGCGGTTCTTACCACAGACGGAGCAGACTCTGAGTCCTCCAGCTGCTCCTCAAACCTCTGGTCACGCTGGTCGTGCCCGGATCTCCCTGTCCATCTCAGTGGGCCCATCTCCTGTGATGCCCGCCACAGTCTCACGCTCTGCCCTCCTGCCCCGCTCGCCCACCCTGGAGGACGGCATGAGGGGGCGCGAGGGATGGAGGGAGCGCAGTGCAGGAAAAGACAAGTGGGGCCTGAACAAAGAAAGAGCCAGAGGAAGGCTCTCGCAACAGAAGGAACGCAAAGCCACACAGATGCTCGCTATTGTGCTTGGTGAGTAGAAATCAAACAGTCCCTGAAAGCTGCACTGTAATTTTCTGGTTGTCTCCATGGAGATGTTATTGCTTTGCCTGGAATTTTCCATGGTATGACACTAACATCCATTTACCATTTATTCTAGGGATGCACAGATCCAAGTTTTTCTGTTTTGTTACTGATATCGATACGTTGGCTTATCAACCAATACTAAAGCAGAGACTGAAAATATAATCTCAGTATTCGTTCACAACTCGTCTTATTACACCAGTTTAAAGAACAAAATGGGAACCAATATGTTGGAATCCACAAAAATGTTCTATTTCAGGGCAAATATGCAATACTGGTTTCATCCAGGTGCATCCCTAATTTATTCATTACGGGTGTTTTTATTGCTCCAAAATACAATAATTCCTTCTGTGGATAGGAGCGACTCTCCGCAGATCTGAATTGTAATGCAGCGTTGTGCTGTAACCTGCATGTCTCTCTTCTGATAGACAAAGCAATCACATTTCCTTGGAAACAAGCAGGTAGCGGTCCCTCCATCACAAAAGTTTTAAAGGACTGTATATTTAAAAAGGAGCTACATCTTGGTTACTACTTGTACACTTTCTGTTCTGACTAAAAAGGAGCTAGGTGAAATGGTGACCTAATTGCCCATAAATAAGTGTGTAAGCAGCATAATGAATCCCTGTCAACATAGAGATTATCCAGGGAAAGCCTTTCTCCATGGGCTGAGAACAAACATATTATTTGAGCTTGAAAGCCAAATGAGTCTGGAGGTGACTAGAAGCAATTGTAATGGGGTCGCCAAGAATACAACTGGCCTCAAAAAACATTCACATTTGGATCTAACGTTTCAACTGGACAGTGTTTTGAAATCATAGTAAATTCTGATTATGACAAATTATAAGTGGTTTCTCAGTGGTTATCTGATAATAGTTAGCTGAAACGTGTTGATTTCAAAAACAGATGGTTATCTTGGAAATCTTTTTTATATCATGGACCACCCGTGAAGAACTGGGGGATCAACATGCTACTCCCCATATTTCCCATTTTAATAAGACCGGTTTGTTTAAAGAAGCCCTGTGTAACTTTTCTGGTGGAGTGCCTGCCACCTGCTTGGTTCCATGGAGATGTTATTGTGTGAAATGTTCCAGTAAATCATTAAAATGTATCCATCTTGCATTTATTCCATAATATGGGTTTTTATTGGCCTAAAAACGTGCAGTCGTACTGTGAGTGGGCCTGCCTCGAGATATAACTTGGCCCTGTGGCATCAGCTAATGTCTCTATAGAGATAAATAAGTGTGATGCTGTACTGCAGAACTTTGCAGGCCACATTTCAACTTAACGAAGCAGGTACCAGACTATCCACCAGAAAAGTTACACAGTGCACCTTTAAAGAAGACATATTTTGCTTGTGTCTGCTGTATAGTAGACACACCTGTGGATCATTATGTTAGAATTTGGACATTTTAAATCACAATATTGATCTAAAACAACTTAAAAGGCCCATATTTTCTGTTCTATCTTATAATATTGTTCATCAAAAATGCACTAGGAGTTGTGTTGTGTTTCATTCAGAAATTTTTAACACACACGTTCTGCATATTTAGGCTGAGTTGAAAGAGTTCCACCTTTTGATGTCATGTGGTAATACAGGAAGTGCTCCACTGTGTTTTTAAACTCCATACACCTTCACTAGAGTCATTTCGATAATTTCAGCCATGAAATTGCCAATCTCTGCTGAAATAAACGTAAAACGTAGCTATTAAGTCACAAGGTCGAAAAGAGCATTTTGAGCAATGGAGATGTAAACAGACTAATAATAAAGGATTAGTTAAACATGTGTGAATGAAACAAAACACAACTCCAGGTATGTTTTTGAGGAGGGAACATAATGAAGTGCACAAGAGTCAGTTTTGTGTAATATTGGACCTTTCATAAATGAAGCACGTCCGCTGGGTTCTGCGTTAGAAAACAGAGATGCCCATTTGGAGCTGGTGTCATCGCAAACGTCATCACAACAAAGAGCCGGTACCTCCTATGGATACCTGCAGATCATGCTAGCAAGCAAAGGATTTTTATTTATTTATTCTTTTTTTTTTTTTCATTTGTACCAAAATGACTTCACAACGTTGATGAATCCTACATGTATCACCGATTAAGAAAATAAAATTGGAGAACAAAGTAAGTACAGAGAAGTGGGTGTATACTAGGGTTGGGAATCACATGGTCCCTCATAATTTGATAAAATACGTGGCCCATGATACGATATTTTCACGATATGGGGATACGTGTGATAATCAGTATATTGCACACAATTCTGTGTGAACCACTACTTGCAAAGTTAATATGAAATACATCTATTTTAATTACCAAAATTGTACTGCAGTCACAAAAAGATATTAAAAGTTATGAGCTAGATACAATAGCACCATATCTAGCCCATTATAATGATACTGTACCATCAAATTTAGTATCATGATTAATATTTGAACAAATCAGGGATGGTGAAAACAGGAATTGATCATAATAGGTCTGCTTTAAAATTTTATACATAATATAGCTTTTTGGTTTGTATTACTTGTCTTATGTATAAAGTTCTTTTCTATTCCCCAGGTGTTTTCATCATCTGCTGGCTGCCGTTTTTCCTGACCCATGTTCTTAAAGCTCACTGCTCCAGCTGCTGTATCACCCCCTCACTGTACAGCGCTGTCACTTGGCTGGGGTATCTCAACAGCGCTGTCAACCCCGTCATCTACACCACTTTCAACATTGAGTTTCGCAAAGCCTTCATCAAAATCCTCCACTGCTGAGGAATCTGTGAAGGAGAGGGTCAAAGAGGGAATACCTTGGAGTTTACCTCTGCCTCTTAACTTTGTTGTTAAAGAGTCAGTAATGGCAGTTTACAGCACTGGGATTTGGAGGATACAATGACTTGATGATGTTAGATTTGAACTGAAACAAAATGAGTGAAACTGGCACTAGAAATTAGCAGAGAATATGTACGGAAAGAATACACGAAGACTACAAAATATTGGTACAACATGAATGTGACTCACAGTTCAATACAGACTCAGAAATGTTATGGTCTGTAGACAAACAGTTGTGTATAAATGTGATATGAGAATCTAGACGAAGAGAGAGAAACTCATGGAACTCATGGTATTTTTTTAATATAACTCTTGACTGGAGCCAGACTGATGTGTTTTCTTGTAATATTTGGCAAGCATCTTTTTGCTTTTTGTAAACATGTCTTTTCTGTGAAAGATTGTAGGGAAAATAAAAAAGTATTGATGTAAGAGGCCTGTACACAGATGATTTGCCAAAGAAGAAATATGGATTTAGTGACAGACTGAAGCAGTCAATATCAGGACTATGATTTTATCTGCAACAAAGTTTGCCCTTTATAAATCAAATTTCAATAATATTGACTGTGTTGATACAAATAAGATATGCAATGATGTGCAGCTCTCAAAACTATTTTAATACTCTCAGTGGCTGTGGTTACAAGCTCACCAAAATCTGATGAATATGCGATTTCAAGACTTCTACACTCGGACCCGCAAAGTGCACACTGATGTGAGGAATCAGAGGGACTGTGATCGGAAAGATGATTTTGCTGTTTACATTTTAATAATCTTTTATCTCCAAAAATCTGATTCAGATTCTTAGTTACTATCAGTCACAAGTTTGGACTCACTCTCTTTCCCTCTCTCTCTCTCTTTAAAAAAAAAAAATATATATATATATATATGTTTAGTATTTTCTACATTTTATACACGTGCAGTGGACATACTGTATATGAAGATATGTGGAATTATGTAGCAAAGGGAAAAAAGTTAAATTACTGCTACTACTATGCTCAAATGCCACTCTTTGAGAGAGAGAAAGAGAGAGAGATACTTTATTGATCTCGAGAGAAATTCGAGTTTTGTTGTTGTTGATGTTGCTACAACATTTCCACCCCGCATCTCATTTGCCTTTGTGTCTCAGTCAAAGGCAAAAAATTGCTTTGAGTTACTCAACTTTTTTCTGTACAAAATAATCCATGTATCTTGCTTCATATGTTTGGTGTCTTCTGTGTGTTGTAAGAAGTAGTAGTTCGAAAAAAAGAAATAAAAAAATGACTGAGCGGTGAGTCCACACTTTTGACAAATAATGTAACTGCAGTCACTGAAATAAGCTTGAAACTGAAGTTATATATTTATTATACTTTAAAGTGGTACTGTGTAACTTTCAGCTGGAGGGTCCACTACCTACTTGCCTTCGTAGAAACTGCATAGTTTTGCTTTGGAATGTTCCACACTATGGCATTAAACTTATCCATCTTGCATTTATTCAGTTACAGGTGTTTTTATTTTTCTAAAATACTGACAAACCTCTTCAAATTTGAGCTTTAACTTGGCTTGCTTGCATCTCATGTTTGTCTCCATGGAGATAGAACCTTTAATGCCACATTACAGAACATTCCAGGCAAATAACATTCCAACCAAGCAAGTGGCAGGCCCTCCATCAGCAAAGTTACACAGTGCACCTTACATTTTCATCGCATTAAACTATCTGAAAACAGTCAGGATGTCAGGAAGACTTTAGTTTTTTGTAATATTACAGCCATAGCAGGTTGGTGTTTTGACTGTAAACACAAACAAATGTGTTAATGTCATTGGTTTGTTAAAATAGTGAATAGAAGGGTAACTGGCAGTAACACTGTGCAAATGTAACAAATTGTTTATTAAGCACGCTGTATTTACTCCTGTGAGAAATGGGCCCAGAATGTGGTAGTTCGAACGACTTGAAAACTTCATGAAGATTCAATGATCTTCACATATGTCACATTTTTGTAAATAATAATTTTCTGCCTCCATGCTTTGGCCTGTTCAATCATTGTACAAAACATCGACCATATTAAATGTGTTTTTCTGCAATGGTGTATTCAGCTATTACAGTGTACTTTAGTAACATGTTACTGATTGTTTAGAATCCAGAGAAGCTCATGCCTGATAAACTCTGACAATGTTTTTGGGCCATTTTTTATTGTTTTTCCCAATTTCTGTAATGTGCATTTATTACAGTACAAACTCACCCACAGCTCTTTTTACTACAAACCTGTACAAGAGCAGTGTAGACACGTTTTGTGCTTTTATCTCTTTGCACTGAAGTGTTCTAATTTTGCTTTCTTAGGGTTAGGGTTGCATATTATTAGGTAGCTGGTTGGTCAAAACAAAATATTGACCAATGGAGATTTAAGGCCAATAGCTGATAAACTAAAAAGTGCAAATATTGTCCCGATGTATCTTGGTTTATTTCTGTTTGTGAACACTTTGGAGGGTGAACACATCAACAGAGATAGACTATGGCTGAAATCTGATGGTGACTGTGGTTTGTGTGAGTTTGGTAAGAAACAGTGTTTTGATGCTACAGTTCAGGTGCATTCTGCTAAAAACAAACTCAAATTAAAATCACTGTTGGCAACATGATGGATTAAAAGGTTCTTGTCTTGTGGCTGTGTTTATCAGTCCGCCATTTCCGAAATAAAGTCCATAACAAAAGATAGTTTACTGACGTGTCTCGTGCAAATGTTGACAGTTTTTCTCTCAGACATCTTTAGATAAAACTAATCCCGTGTGAATAGGGCTTAATTCTAAACCAATCATTTTGGGGGCAAAACACTGGTAAATGGTCATTGTCATATATATATATTTTTTTTACTTTTAAAATATCACTAGATAGACAACTTATTATTTGAAAATTGTTTATTTATTCATTTTCATTTATTATTTTTAAAGATGTGGGGTGGCATTGTTACCTTGGTGCATCCTGTCACTTCCCATGCTGCTGTCTGGAATATAAAATATGAATCAAATTTCAATTATGGTAATGCATCATAATTCAAATATACATACCTTTGTTCAGTATGTGGGCGAAGTGGCAAACAAGATCATTTAGTGGTACAGTTACTGGGAGTAACTTATATGGCCGACGCACACACTGTGGCTTCCTCTTTTCTGCACCACTGGAGGAAAAAACTTAAAACACAATATTTTTCTATTTGTATGTTTACAGTATATACTGTACATTTATTTGTTACATTAACAATGCAACAAGTATTCAGATCTGTGCGTGCGTACTTTCATTTGTCTGTTTGTCCATTCTTAGTTTGATTCCTAAAATGATCATGTTGTTTGAACAAATATAAAGTTGTATGGCTGCAGCTCTAGTTCCACACAATACTTTTGCAGGAAATACTCCAGTACTACTGTATTTGTTATCTCTCCCTCGGCTTTATTCTTATAAAATGACCAGGTCCAAATTTAGAATTAGAATTTAGAATTTATTTATTTATTTTACCCACATTAACGATGTTTTGTTTTGATGTGTTCTTCGCCGGCGTCTGTGTGTGTGTGTGTGTGTGTGCGTGCGCTCAGAGCTGGGTCTCTGCGTGCACACACTTCATGGTTGTTTGGGGGGCTATTTAATAGCCCAATATCCGAAATAAATATTTAAAAAGTAGTGTAATAGCAGTATACTTGGAAGTAATAGAAGTTAAAGTGAGATTGGAGTATTTAGAACAACAGCCCTCTAGAGCGCCAGGCTCTAGTCAAAGTGCATCCTTTGGTAAAAAAGGATATAAGCACTCTTCCGTTTGCTCCTGCACACGTCCCGCCCAGTGGTCTTCTGTACGCGGAGGTCATTATAGTACAACCACCCATCGGTTGGGTCAAGGGGACTGTTGGCCAGGTCTTTCCCATCAAACACGAAGTGTCCTATAGAAGCACACACACAGTAAAGATGAGAGTTCAATTTCTTTAAGACATTTTCCTAGTGTTGAGTAATAAATCATTTTCTCACCAGAGTTGACTGATTTTCCAAGGTGGGAAATGATACCCACCAGACTGAAACAGCCAGAATCCTGTAGAAAGCACAAATGGCAGATTACTAAGAAAGTTCAAAAGTTCCTTCACTACAACTGTGAAAAATTGACTTTACATTGTTTGACGACACCACAAGGTCTCTGTTTAAGTGGATGGAATCATTGATCCTCTCCCGCTGGTATCTGGGTGTGTACCTGACCCTTTTCAGTAAGAGCATCAGAACTCTGCGTAAGGACAAAATGTAAACAATAGTTAGTAAGGAGAAGGCAGTTGTTTCATTCAAATGAACGTTTGTTCCACTTACTTGGGCAGTGTTGAAAAGCTGCTTTGTACGGAGGACATTAGCCCACCACAGCCGCACATGTACTCCAGGTCTGCGGCCTGTCAAAATCAAATATAATGTGAATATTAAATCAAAATGCAGTACTGTATTGAGTATTTCATATGCACAAGTAAAGTTACTTGGCCAGATAAATACTTGGATCATACCAAAGGAAACAAAATCTTACTTTCAAATAGTCCTCCAGGAGGTCGGGAATCGTAGCATCTTGATGCAGCTTCAGAGAAACAGAGTTAAAAATCTCTGTCTGACGTGAGCCCATTCCACACCTGCACAAACATTAATACAGTACATGGAGTTTATGAAGTACATCAAGTATATATGAAGTAAATGCTACTGAAGAGTATTGTGTTTGCTGTGAGCCCATACCTCTGGCAGGTCCTGGTCCGATCCATGGTAAAGACGAGCTCCTGCACTGGGCACCTGTAGGTAGTGCCCAGGCTGAAAGCAATGCTCTCCAGTGTTGGTGCCAAACTTTGAATTTGACTAAACAACACAGTGAGGAACCTAAGGGCGGACTGAAACAAACACACAGTAACTTTAGTTTAGCAGAACAGAAGAAATATAAATTAGCATATTAGTTTGTCTTTATGGAATCTTTATGAAAATGTTATGATTTTTTAAACTTAATTAACTGAACATCCTTTTTTACAAAGTAAAGACAAAAAACCTAAACCTAAAGAAAAGTCACTTTTGTAATCTATATAGAGTTTGAAAACCAGTTTAATATTACTAGTACATTATGTTAGATAAAAAAATTAATAAATCACTGGTACTTTTGATAAATGTAATTGTTCTAAATAATTATTATTTCAATTATATCCTGCATCCCTCAATCATGGCTAAAGTAACTCACTTGCTGTTGGGACCCTCTAAACTCTGGAGCCTTGGAAGCTACAAGAGCCTTGAAAGAGTGCACCAGTGTTTTCCTCTTGTCTTTCTGAGTGGAGTATCTCGACTTTTGGATGTCGTAAAGGTGTCTGTGGAAGAGACATGAGCTCATCAAATAAGGCATTTCACTCTGTACGGTTTACATGACTTTTTTGCTGTAATTAGAGATCATTATTTAAAAAAGATTGTAACTGTAAACTTTAGTGTCTGAGAGAGAAAAGAAAGGATAAAAAAGATAAAGCAGTGTCCTTATACAATGACCACTGCTAGTTGCTTTTACACAGTTAGAAAATGGTAAATATGTATTTAGTAAAGGGTGCGTAGCCGTTGCGTACCTCAACAGGCCTGCGTCTCTGCTCTTCTCCCAAATTCTCTTCTGAGAGCTCACGCTGCGCATGAACAGCTCCAGGGTCATGATGCTCTGAACACTGGCGTTGAGATAGCATGTATTTCCAATGTTGGGAAGTCTGTAAATGAAAACAACATCATCTAATCTCTGTCCAGTTAATGTCAATAAAATATACTGAAATAATTAAATGTTATTAACTGAATAACAACAGATTGTTGTGTGCAGTATGTGCCTTCCTAA